AAAATATAGCCTACATCAGCTCCTATAGCTTTGTCATAGGTACACATGGGAGGCTTCTGCAAAAAAAAACAACTCCTTAAAGAGGTCAAAGCTCAAAAATGCAGACACCACCAACTGTAACGTAAACTGTAATAAATACATTAGGATAAGGACGAAATTAGCATCAGGCCCCTCTAGTAGAAGAAAAAAAAACTACTTCGTTGGAAAAAGTATTCGCACGGTTAAATAGTATCAATTACGATGATTCAGATTACTGTATTATTTATAAACTATGTGGATAAAAGTCATAATTTTACCTTTCAATTAGAAAAAAATTAGTAAGCCATTGAAGATTAGCCCTCAACGTGGCCAGTGTGAAGCTCGGAAGAACGAATGAATAAACAGTGAAGATAGATATATGGGACGCGGCACCAGATCTATTCATATTAATTGTTTTTAATTCTAGAAGTGTCATTTTTGACAGTCACGCATATTCAATATGGCCACCCTTCGTCGTGTGGATTCGAAATTGTTCATTGTGAGTGTTTTCTTTACCATTTTGCCGACGTCTCCTCGATAACACGAATGATCAAGTTAACGTTGTCATATCGAAACTTATTGGCCGCTAGTTACGATAACACTTTAATAATTATTTCAGTAGTCGTATGTATTCATAACAGAACATGCCCCTATTCTCGGACAGCCGGCCTTTCACCAATCGGCTTTTTCGAGCTGTACGCCATTTTGTTGTAAAACGTTTCAGCTACTCGTGGTTATACAGGAGTTTGTAGAACATGCAAATAAACTTTTTTAATGATATCGTCGCTTTTCTGGAAAATGTCTGGTATAATAAACGCTCCATCACTTCTGCTTCTTCTGTAGTCGCGTGCTACGCCGATTTGCAACGTGGCACACTGTCGACTTGAAGTGGTCCAAGACGTTTATTATCTCACGGAAGTTCGTCCAGCGCATAGAGGTTAAATGATAGTTGATACTTAATTGAATTAAAAAAAAAAAACGCATTGCTCTTCGTCATAGCGGCTTTGTCGTTGCACTATAGGGTTATATATGCCACGAGGAGTAGCGAATGAATGCACAACAGTTAAGATCAAAAAATGTCTTCAAACTGTCAAAATGTCTTCAAAACAAATGTCTAACAAAAAAATTTTATATATATATATATATATAGCTACTGAGTCTCTGGAATAGAATCATGGATTATCTTATTTATCCTGATTATTTGAATGTAGAAGATCAAGTTAGTTGTTCAAACTTTTGTGGGACACAATTAATTCTGATTCGTAACTATCGGCTACTAGGGAGCTAAAGGTCAACAATGAATATTCCGTGTGCAATAACGTAAATTTTAAATTTTACCGATGGAATATCGGAATAAAGCTTCCCATGGACTCCCAAGTTGTTGAGTCTTTATTTGTTGCTCCCAAGTTACTCCCATAACAACATAGGATCCGCTGATTAAAAATTATTCAAAAATAGTGTCCTATCTAAGTAACAAATGAGACCATTTAGGACAAAAGATATTAACAATAAGAATTATGCTGTGTTGATGCAGTCTCTAGTGGTCTAAAAGTTGCTATTCGTTGGTGCATACCTATCGAAAGTAGGTAGCATAGCTCTACCTACCCGCGTATATAACCTACTGCATTTAGAACACACTAGCTTGTTTCAATTACTCATGTCCGAAGACCAGCTTTATTTCATGTTTTAAATTTACACTCTGATAATATAATAATCATGTCTTCGCAGAAGGCTACATGTACCTCATAAGTCAACACTCTTGTAGTACCATAATAATAATAATAATGTCAGTAATATCTTATTTTATCCATCAGTATCAAGACATTGATCTGTTGTCCACACGTACTTGTTATTTCAATTCCACCTACAATATCATCCTCATTAACCACTCAGTAAATTAAATCTATCTGCACTGCTTCGACGGGCTATGCGGCACTTCGATTCGGTCTTTGTTATTTATTCTCTTCGGTTCCAATCAGCCTTCGGACATTCGTAGGACATCACCGAATTTTTTTTCGCATTTCTTGAAAAACTGACCGATAACTTAGCCGTGCTATTGCCTCCATTTTATTCGATTTCGATGTATTTCCGCAGTGCTTCTTATTACGGCTCTCTACATCATGTTTATTTCTATCCATCTGTTCATTTGTTTAATGTCTTGGTATATAGTATATCGAAGAACGTGAGCCACATATAAATACATAGGTATACAGGTGTTCAAAATAAACTGGGACATATTTTAGCGACCTGTTTGTTTGTTTGTTCACCAGCATTTATTAGTAGCAGAACCAAGCCAGTTCCATCTGGACTACCTGGCGGCGTGAAAGCAAGAGCTTTAGAAATTCATTTCTCATTCTACCGGAATTCTTACGCACAGATTAGAAGCCGTTTTAAAGTGGGCGCTATCCGCCGCCTGTGGGGTCGTCCTTGCTGGCGATGGCTATCTCCGTCTGAATTTTTCGGGCCCTTTAATTTTTAAGCTACCAGTCTAACGTTTGGTAATATTTGTATATGATCAAATATACTTAGATAGAACTCAATCCCAATTTATCCCGAACACCATATATATTTATGCCATTTACATACTACATGATCGTGGTCGTCCGGGCCTTAATAGTGACAAGCTAAAATACAAATGCTCACTCCCGTCATCATCACCATCGTGTTCCGCACACCACCACGAAAATCCCTTTGTTTCATGTCCAGCACATAGCAAACCCCAATTATCTGTTTTATCATGTTTCCCGCTTTCTCACTCACCACCCCACATTTGCCAACGCTATAGGTAGCAGTTCCACTGTGTTATATACAAGAAGATATTCTTCTGTCTTATATATGTGTGTGTGTGTGTCTGTTCGTGTGTCTGTTTTAATCATTTTTAGGCAAATAATATGGAACATCAATAGTTCAGATCATATAAATCATAATAACCAATATAATCTATCTATAGTAATAGCAATAACAAAGTGGAAATAAAGATCGAAATATTTACTTGGCGTGCCTGTGTACACGCATTTTTTGTTGCTACTGTTTTAGCATCTGGTACATACAATTTTTATTTTTTTTTTTAAAATCATCTCATCAGTATGACATATCAGCCGTTCCTATGAAAGTCGTTTGGTTCTAAAGCGGATTTCTCTACGCTCTCTTAAGTATGATGTTATACATTTCAGCTATGGTATATGGACATTTTTGTCGACCGACCGTTTTTCTACTTAGAAAATTTATCTGTTCGATAGTGTTTTCATCTAATGCCCTTTCAATGTGTGTCTGTGTGAACATTCAGGATGATAGAAAATTGATACGCATGCCGTACGGTCCAGTGTGTGTAGACCGAGAGTATAAATAGCATGTATATATACGAATAAATAATAGTACACAACATATTTGCTTTGTATATATACATGTAATAACACTAATGGCAGAGAGGCTAGGAATACAGAAGAAGAATGTTTAGAATACACAATAGGACAATTTCTTTTTTGTACGCGTTCGAAAAAATGTTTGTTATCGGCTGTTGATAAACATGCGTTTGTTAATGAATAACAACTCTCCGCGAGCCAAATGTAGATCGATAGCGGGATACGAATGGAGACTTACAACCCCACGTATATTAGCAGACCTAACCTTGGGAATTGTAATGGGTCCAAGATGTTCGATTGGAGATGAGAAAATGTTGATGACTATAGTACGACTTGGTCGAAAGCCTCCATTTCTTGGGCGGAGATATACTTCAAGCGCAGTTGATATTTTCCTTCGGAAGAATTCCTTCTCACAAAGATGTCTCCGTGTGCTTTTTGAGACAGTTGAAAAGGTTGAAGAACTCGCGCAAAGGTCGTATCCTTTCGAGAATGTAGCAGTGCTTTCGTGTGTACTATACGAATCTCCAGCAGTAACCCTGGAGATCTATGATCGTCTGCGTTAATAGATGAAATATCTGTCCCATGATGACTTAAACCGGCCCAGAGAATTTGCGACAAGGACGCTACAAAGATCCTAAGGAAAATAATTGCTTCAAACTGCCCGATTTCCAGTCAGGAGAAGCAGCTTAAGGAAAGCGCGTAGACATTATGATCAGTATGGGGTTGTTGCCGATCGTTGAAATTATCAGTGATTATCAAGATTTTATGCATTGCACTTACTAACAAAACAATTTCACCCACGAATGTACAGTGTGTTAGGCAAAAAAATTGTAATGCCTAATTAGGGCACATCTAGTTACCTTGGCAACATTGATCGACATTGACGAACAGGGCATGCATGTTCAATAGCAATTATTTCGCAATAGGCGTCCGAATCATAATGTCCTTAACGTTCTAAACCTGTACAGATTATTGTGCTTAGCTTACTTGAGTACAAACAATGATTTACTTCGGTAACGATAATGGCTATAGATAGATAAGCCTGAGATGAGAAAGCTTCGTTGGTTTGTGTATCATTAAGGGCTACCTCGGTGCTGTGCAATCTTATTAATAAACAACATCATGTCTATGCGACGTATTAGTGAGTTGTTCTATGTAAACTAACGTTATTCTGAGTCTTGTCAGGTAACTCAATCGATGCTTATCATATAGTAACATAGCGGCCAACATATGGAGTCACCTGCCAAGTAATTTTATAAGTTATCTTCTACCTTGGCTTCTGCTCGAAGCCCTGAGATTAACTTGAGATGAGAACTTGAGAGAGGAAAAGTTGGTGATCCCTGTATGGCGATCCGCAATATCATCTAGCACAAAGTAATCACTTCTGTTTTGGATCCTAAATGGATACCGACAACACAATCTGATTCCACACATACACACATCGAGAGCAGAGAATGTGTTACCAAAGGTGGGTTGATTGGTAGTTTGTTAACCCGCTACCTAAGGCGGTCAAGCTCGGATATGAAAGAAGACGCTGCAAGATACTTTCGCAAGTGTTTTAGCATGAGGGCCAACAATTCCTTGAATGAAAGTCCTTTAGGATGCCAATATGATGTTTCTCGAGCCGCAAAGACATCAAATGTTGCCTTTTGTATTGCGAGCATACAAACTACAGCTTTCCATCTCTTACTGAAATCACTGACGGGCCCCCTTCCATTTGATTCCTCCATTTGACAGCGCACTGTTCAGAGGATGTCCATCCCATGTTCATTGAAGCCAGGACTGGATATTGAAGGGGGGGGGGGTGGAGGGGATCAACTCTAAACCTCATAGAGGCATATATATTTCTGTACCACACTTTCATGTAGAGTAGGTGGTCGAGTGTACTTTTCTGTTCTTCGTTTATAATGTATTTATGGATGTAGTAACCAACTACGTAATTTTTAGAGTAGTATATTTATATATGTCATTCAAATGTCGTCGCAATTACGCTCGGTGCAGGCGCATTTTCTGATGATTTCGACCGTTTTGGTGTAGGCACCGGCTGGGTTCTCTGGACAAACCATTTTGACTTGTCTCCGTTTACTTTTCTGAGCCACAGGCCGGCAACAGGCCTCGCCACATCCTCCAACGCACACGGCGTTCTTCACCTTCTTGGCGGAACGACACCCGTTTTCGTCACGCACGTAGTCGTGCGTTCGCTGCTTCTGACAGGTTGGCGCTATAGGGCAGTAACACGGAAATTAATAGAAGCAATTGTTTTCTCGTGAAATCTTTATTGTCTCCCACATCCTACACATGCTATGGATAATTAGATAAATATAACTTTTTAGCTTAAAACATTTCGCCATAGGGCTTTTAACGAAAACATAGCGAATGTCGCAGACACGAAAATCAATCAATTTTTTTTCAAAAAATCAAATTTTTATTTGTGTCCGAATCTTTCTTTTCTAATCAGGCAGTTTCTATAAAATAAATTGGTGAGGCATTATTATTTGACTGTTGAGGTTTAGTTAACCCTTTTTGTAGCTTTGTCCAATAGATCGGAGGAGAGATAGGTGCTCTGTGCAGATAACTACTTCAGAAAAGTGTGAACGTTGGAGTCTGATTTTGTACTAACCTTGATCGCAGAAAGGCCCACTCCATCCAGGTCGGCACTTGCAGTCATACGAAGTTGAAGATGTCTCTCGACATTTGCCCTTCACGCACTGGTGGTCATCGCACGGCTTCTTGCCATTATTTCGGCCGCTATTTGGCGTTAGGTGGGCGGCACATCCAGGTGAGACACGCTGCTTATTTCGTGCATTCATCACATCTTGCGACACTTCGTTGATAAACACGCCCTGCATGCAGCCGACAAAGGACGTGAAATTTTTGAGGTGCCATAGCCGCACGGCTGCTTCAGCCCGATCTGCAGGCAAGCCACCGATATAGAGCGGATTGCTCGCATCCAGGTCGAGGTATTCGTTTGCTCCGTCGTTGACGATGCTTCGTGGATTGCCATCATCTACCCGCATCGTCAGGTTTCGGCCCCAGAGTAACAACTCAAGTGAATGAAATGCACCGTCCGATACCTCTTCGTAGCTGAACACATTAGACGCCGGATAGTTGCCAACGTCGTACGATACCCGAACGTGTCCTTTGAATAGCTCAACGGCCAGATGATGCCCCTTCTCCTGACTACCGTCGTAAGCGAGAATACCAAACTTGTGCGCGGTAGCGAATTGTATAGTGAGATTGGCACTGGGCCTGGTGGCCAACGTGTCGAGTTCTACAAACGATTCTTCTCGGAAGCTGACACTTGATAGGATGTCGCATCGTTTGCCGGTGAAACCTGGTGTACAACGGCATTCGTAGTCTGACCCATCAGTATCGGGTTGAAAACACACCCCATGAACGCAGTCATGCTCTTGACAGGGTGATGTGCGAGGGTACATCATGGCTATTGTTGGTGCTATCTCGCAAAACGTACCGGAATAACCGTCCGGACAGAGGCACCTGTACGTGTTGAGCTCATCGATGCAAGTCGCCCCATTTGCACAAAGGTTGTCGACGCAGTCGTCAATATTCGACGAACAGTTAACGCCGGTAAACCCAACGGGGCACACGCAAGTGTAATGCGTCTCGTGGCTGATGCATTCAGCGCCGTTCTCGCACGGATTGAAATCTTCTGTGCAGAAGTTCATTTTTGTTTCACAGAACTCGCCCGTATAGGGCATTGGGCAATAGCAACTGTACCCATTGACGCGGTCGACACAGGTACCGTTATTTTCACAACGATGTTCGATACAATCGTCAATGTTCGTTTCGCAACGAGAGCCCTGCAGAAAAGTCAGCAGAAGAACAAAATGACATCGTCTTAATTAATAAGTGTGCCGACATGGCACAGTGATTCTACAGTGACTTGTATGTGCTGCAGCTCTTTTCGGTACTTCTCAAGAACGCCCTCGATGATGCGAGATACTGCACCTAATGCATATATCACAATTAATGTACTAACCTCATAACCGGCCGGACAGTGACAAGTGAATCGGCCAGCATCCTGTGGTTTGCAGAGTCCGTCATTGAGACAGGGTTTATCGAAACATGCGTCGATCGTGTATTGGCAGCGATCACCGTGGAACCCAGGGGCGCAGCTACATTCATACTTTCGCATAACCAATGACGTGCACGTGGCGCCGTTCTCGCACGGGAAAGTGAAGCACGCGTCACATTTGGCTCGAATATGCGCCGGAGCACGTTCTGTCAGAACGATTTTTAAAAATTTTTAGTGACTAAGGTCACTTCGACTGCGATCAAAGACCTGCACGCCCTTGACTCGTTTATATATTTCTGTCAGCAAAAACAAATCTTGTAATATCCTATTTCACCAAAATTATCTAAAATAGGAACGATATGATTTTTTTTTTTAAACTAGAGCTCACTTTCCGAGGAAGTGTATTACCGTAAATTTAATCACAAAAGCACTCTTTCTTTCTAAGTAAATTCTAAAACTGGTACACGTACAAAGAAGACTGCTATTGAGCTAATTTTTTCTAATACAAGCATCGAAAATGATAACACCTTAATACGTTGTGCATTGATGAACTATACTCGTAGTTGAAAGCATTTCGGGGAAATCCTAAAAACAAAAAAACGTTCCTGAATCAACCTCTTTAACTATTTCTTCCTATTTCTATTTAATAGTATAGCGTGATAGCTAGTGCATTACAATATTGCAACTGAAGCTACAGACTTACGTGTGCATACGAAGGCGTTCGATGGTGCAGTGAGGACAAGTTTGTCCTTCATGTGCGGCGGTTCGGCACAACGGGCGATGCCAGGCTCAATGAAGTCCTTCTTGATCCAGTCGGAAGCCCAGCGCATTTGGCAGTCGCAATAGAGCGGATTGGATCCGAGAGCGATGTGAGTAATGGCGGTTAGGTCCTTAAACGAGCCCTCGGGCATTATAGAAATCTCGTTGCCGTGCAAGGACCTGCCACACACAGACATACATTAAAATAATAACCTCGACTATGAGCCCCAAGCTACGAAGCGAGCCGTTCACGCGTCATGCCCCATGCCTCTACTGTACAAACTCGAAATGAACTTTATAATTTAACAAGTCACTATTTATTCATCGCAGAGTCATCTGTCCCGTCGGTTCTCGTCATTGCCGTCAACGTTTAGTGGCCTCGAGCGTCGCAAACGAGACACGTTGCTTTCCAACTTCTGACAACTTAGATTTAATATATAAACGCCTAAATAGAGGCCAATTTCCATTACTCCTATTTTCGAATACAAAACTTTAAATTTGAATTCCTTAATCGTTATAATACCTATATATATATATATATATATATAATGAAGCCACTTAAAGACACGCTTCTGCTTATTGGGATCAACCCGCTAGACTAGCCTATACTAATTTGCTGATATATCAACAGTATACGTACAGCACTCGAAGATTTTTTAGTCCTCGGAAGCTTTCATTCTGAATACATTGCAGCTTGTTGTTCGTCAGGATCCTGAAAGGGAATAGAGGAACGGTAGACCGAATCAGTTGATTGGTTCGGTAAAACAGACGGAATAGCAGAAGCGGTAACAGGCGGTGAACAAAACACAGTGTGGACATAGAACTAGATTGGGAGAAGGACTGATCATTAGTATAACCCCATTCGCTTTCCAAAGGTTCAACATTGTTCCTTACCAAGACTAGCATCTATCTCATAAGCCTACTCGAAGCCTTTTCTACTCGATTTGAAAGCAGTCAGAATTTATCTAGATATCACTATTGCTTCCTTTATCCCTCTTTGTTTCTTTAGTTCTATTCTATCACCAGTTCGCCGCCATCGTCATTATAAATCACTATGCTTAACTTAAATTTACTATGTTGCTTAATACAATCCACGTTTATGTGCGTCTGTCATCGTCTTCTATAGGGGTTACACTCTTATTGAAGACCTATCCTCTGCCTCGGACTTTTTGTACGCAAAATGTATTTATACTGAGCAGTGGATCAGATCAGATCAGATCAGAAATATATGAAATGCACAGAAGAACACAATTCATAGAACACGTGTGAAAAAACGTTTCAATGATCCGAGAATGGATATTTAAAAGAAAATTTCCACTCACCAGGTTAACTGTACGTTTATAAACTAGGTATATATGAACGATGAATAAACAGTGCTATAAAAGACGGCGTTTTCGTGGAAAACTTCTTTCTTGGTCTTTATTTGGTGCACGCTATACACTAAGTTACATATTAGTAACACTTAATAAATATACAGTAATGCTTCCTTTCAATGTTATCTCTTAACTATCTATTCTACTTTCAGTTCTTTTTATCTAGCGATAGGCTAAAGTTACTGGCAAATGAAAAAGTATTATGCAAGCGTTTCATAGATTAAGCGACCAATTGTTCAAATAATGCCTTACTGTAATGTATTACAAAAAAAGGTCTATAAAAGTACGATTAAAAATTCCCGACATTTCCCTGGAACAAAATAGCATTTAGTGGTAACGACTAGTGACGTAGGATCCAACCACTTTAAACCAGTAGCATAATTCGCTAACTGTAAACCTAGAAACCTAGAAACGAGAACGCTTAATACGGACAGATCTTTATAAAACATCTTAGCAGATCCTTTCAGCTATACATGTAAGCTGTCCAAGTGCCAACCTACCACACTAATGATATTCATATTGAAACTTTATATAATAATTACCGTTCTACTAATACCGAAAACAGAAAAGCTAACTTTCAAATAACGTATCGTCTCAACACACTTTATTCCTACGTGTTCCCATAAAGGAAGAGCAAAGCCCACAGATAAATTTAGCCATTAACAGGAAGTTATTCATAAATATGTAAGTAAAATAAACCAATGGAACTTACAGAGCGTTCAGTTTGGTGAGATTAGAGAACGCGTTGTTGGGTATTATTGTGATTTTGTTGTTGCTTAAATCCCTGCAAAAGAAACGTACTTTAGGGTTACAAGCTAAGACCATTGAATCAGCTGTAGTTGAGATTCGTATGTTAGTACAGACTGTTGTAGCATTAGTAAAATCATAGATTTCCTAGAATCTTTCCCTAAGATAAGCGAAACCTTTTGGTACTTACAGCTTAGTTAATCCATAGATGCTGTTTAACTGTGGCGAGATTTCATCGATGTTGTTAAAATCGAGGTAGAGCTCCTGTGTGAGCGCAAGATCAATTCGTCTTGGTATTGAATTGAGTTTAAGTCTCGAACATCTTACCACCTGTTGGCCTCCACTACCGCTACATGAACAGCCCTTAGGACACACGCCGTCAGTCGCGCACTCCTCTTCATCGGGATCTTCTCGGTTACAGATGAAATCACCAGCCAGGACGTCTACAACGGGTGAGTCTTTGAGGTCTGACGGACCTCCTCCGCATGTTGGGCCGTCAACCGTTACCGACGTGTCCCTCAGCCAATGAGCCAACCACCGCAGATGGCAGTTGCACACTAATGGGTTTGCCATCAGGTTACTGCATAAGTGATGATACATCATACAAGTAAATGAAATAAGAAAAGGTCAGTTGGAATACACTTCCTATTAATACTTATCGTTCGAAGCTTTTTTTGAAGAACATATTTTGCACACTTTATGCAGTCATAGGACAAATCTTTAACCGATTCGATTATTACTGTCTTTACTCTGCACGGTCGTTACGCGTAACCGCATGCATCTGTAATTTTACGCTCTTTCTACATATTAATGTATACATGAAATGGCTGATTGCCACTAGTTCTGGCCCGTGGGCAGAAATCTCAGAAAGGAAAAAACGTTCGCCAGCGATTCTATTCACGGTCCTTTAAGTCTACGATGTCGATTTCTTTTTATAATAATGGCAACCTGCCACCTGTACCACGAAACGTGTACGGAAAAGCCCATCCTAATTGATTTACTTATATTAATTGTCACGTTAACGCCCTCAATAGAAGATAGAGAGGTTCGCGTAGAGGCGTCACGTTTCGCTGTGTGGTACTTATCAATCGAAACTGACGCACTAGAAATGAGCAAAATCACTTACAGTGTCTGAAGATTGCGTAGTCTTACAAAGCTGCCCGGTGCAATGCAACGGATTTTATTGTCGTTCAGGGACCTTGACGAACACAATCATCGAAGACATAAGAATCAGATCGCAGAGCGGTGATCAGCAAACATGAAGAGAAATGATACTATGTAGCTTTTACATATTATGATACGAAAAATCTAAACTCCTAGAGCATTACATACTATTTTTCTTATGGGGATCGCTAGGAAACTATCTGCAAGAAGTCGTTGTACCTTTTCAACGTCCAATAATTCTTCCGAAACGATTAGGACGAAAATTAATTTTAAGTACTGTATACCGATAGTAACAAAACTATGAAATTCATACACGAACGCTCATTAGGGCGTGCTTCGCAGCTCACACAGGTACGCTGAGTACTTTTCAAGCTACAAACTAAGGAACTGTTCTTACAGTAACTGTAGAGAAGGCAATTCCGAGAAGGTGTCGTTGGTAATGAACACGAGCTGGTTAGAGCTGAGCAGAAGGTTCTTGATCGACGAAAGGCCTGCCAGCATCTTCGGCCGGACGTGTCGTAGTTCGTTGTCCGATAAAAGTCTGCAATAGAAACAGGACCCCGGGAAATTACATGAGTATCTATTAGCACTTAACAGTATTCTATCTTTGTTGCTTGTTAGTGAAACGATAGTGGGAGGCCCAATTCTTTATTTCTATATTTTTAAAGCATGGGCCTAACTACCTGAGGAAGTGTTCATTTGGATCTAAGACGCTGCACCATCTTGAACTGAGAGACTAGTACCTTAATTAAGCTGAACCAGCTGGTTTCTACAATGTCGCATGGCCCAACTCATTTAGAGAAACCTTAGAGGTATGGTAGTTAGAGATAAGTGAATATTGGTAACCCTAAATAATTGAACACATTATATTTGTAACTGTTTTACCGAGGCACAACATCTTCCTAGGTTGTGTTCTAACTAGTGAAGGAAAACATCTTTACAAAAAGAGTTTTATTTTATTTGGCGCATCGTGAACGTAAATTCACAGTAGGAAAAGAAAACGCTTTAAGATGATAACTTCCATTGTTTTTTTTTGTAGAAGTAAACATTGAATCTGTATAACAGTAAGCACACTCCTTTGGTCCTCTATTTCTCCAATGTTTCTATTCTTACTTACAGATCAGTTACTTGTGCAGCCCCGTAGAAAGCATTATCGTCAATGTCTTTGATACGATTGTCCCTAAGATCGACCTTCAAAAGATTAGGCAGGTTCTTGAAAGCTTCGGAAGGAAGCCGCTCAATAGAGTTTCCGGTAAGTCGCAGTTCCTCGGTGAACATGGGCAAATCATCGGGAATCGAGTGTAGGCCACGCCTCGAGCAATCAACGATAGCTCCTTCGCAAACACAGCCCGACGGACATCCGTTGTCCAATCGGCATTCACCCGCATACCTAAGAGATGCATTAAAACAATAACAAGCTGTCACGGCTACAAATTTATATTAGAGATAAACAAACAAAACTGGCGCGTAAGCTATTTGAATCTGCGTAGAGTCATCCATAAGGGTCCATATACGATTCGGTGTTGGATTATTTAACGATAGAAAAGCACTTGAATCCAGTGTACGCGTAAAAGAGCAATTACTTCAGAATACCACTTCAATGACTATAGCCCTTGTAACATAACAGGCTACATCACTGTTTATCGAGTAACTGTGACAACACCGTACAGTGTGGTCACACTGTCATAAGGTAGGAGGATACCTGTTGGACAGTTCCTTTAGAACAGATCGATTAGAGTTGCTATGTTTACCACAGTTTGTTACGTTTATTATGATTACATGGAACAGCATAGTTACGCACTTGGTTCGGAACTCTTCAGCGCCTCTACACTTAAATTTGCCCTCAACCAGCTGAGCGAGCCTTTTGCCAGCAACACGCTTGGGGGCCTCGCATCGGGCATCGCTTTTCTCGACTCCTAGCTGTTCTTCTTCCTGTTCCTGACTAGTATCCTCTTGGAACGAAGCAATCCATCGTGATAACCAGCGGAGGTTGCAATCACATACGAGCGGGTTCTTGCCTAGATGGACGGTTTGGATATTGACCAGTGGGGCGAACGTGGTGTCCGCTAAGGACTGAATAGCATTATCATATAGGGATCTGCCATGACAACGAAAAGGAGGAAACATTAATAATATTGATTAGGAGTTAATAAAGTGGTTGCTTAATGATCCCATAACACAAAATTACGAGTTTAGATTTTACCTTATTCTATTATCAATGCCTGAAGAGGAAGAGATGGTGTTTAGGTAACCGTATGTATATATACGACAAGCATGCATCGAGAACACCGTTAAATTCGAAGTCGCTTGGCCAGAAAAAAACCGCCAGTAATTATAAAGAGTAATGCCTTATCAGAAAGGTACTAATAAACGCATTCAATAATACTGGAATTATTTTTAGGAATATAGAAAGTTAGCAGCAGGATCAAACACTATTATAGCGGTATATAAACACTGTTTCTACTTTACTTACAGCACGTTGAGGTTTTGAAGATCCCGGAACGCGTCCTTGCGTATACACCCGAGCTGGTTACGATTTAGGAGGCTGGAAGCGTCATGATGACAAGACGACCTTTTATCATTGTCCTTAAAAATAACCTAGCTAAGCACATCACCAACTCTATTAAATGTATTCTAAAAACGTCATTTTACGGGACACATGACTCTTTTTAAAGAACTAGACATGCTATAAGGGGTCCCTCTGATTACATGTGGCCAGTAAAACGTTAAAAAATAGTTATTGTATATATAGCAAAAAATGACACCTACAGCACTTGAAGGGAGGTGAGTCCATCAAATACGCCAGACGGAAGATCTGTTAAGTTGTTTCGGTACAGCGCCCTATACGCATAAACACAAAAAAAGCCAAAAAAATGTAAGCCAATCTGTACCTGATTCCATTATTCAATGAGCTGAACATCTGTTACATATACTACTACTGATTCTGGTGCCATATCGGCTATACCGGTAAGACTAGGATTATTTGTAGGGGAATACGTACAGAATCGTGAGGGTTCGCAATCCTTCGAAGGCTTCGGGATCGATTTTGCCAATGTGATTGCCCGTCAGATCGCTGCAAACACAAACAATCGTACAACAAAGCAAACATGATAATTCAATCGTGTGCGAGATTTTTTTGGTTTATGCCCGTTATAGGCGCTGGCGTTAGACAAACGATACAACGCCTACCCAGATTTTCCTTTATCCTCAAATGGTACTCAGTAATAACAACGTCTGTCACAATTATACGTTTTTTTTTTATTCAGATTATTTGATGCAATCGTCATTATTATAATTATCTGTTAACACCTGTGCGATTAGGGCGAACTGTCATATTAAATTGACGTTGTTGTTAAATCCCGTCACAATGCGTAGTATAATGGAAAGGCTTCTTATACACTATAACGATCCAAGTACCATTTTTTGTCAGTTTTTCTTCACCTTGTCAGCTTCACTGCTTTCGTGTCACGTTTTAATCAATTCGGTATCTATTAAAGCAAATTCCTATACAGAGGCAAATTACTTAGATAAACATATTTAGAAAAAGCAGCCTCAACACTGCAGCGGTATTTTAAGAAAATTTATTTTACTGAAAAAAATATATAAATAACCTGTACAGACCAATATTATCTTTCAGCTATTTATCTATAACATTTCTGTTTCAACGTATTGAATATAGCATTTTTTGTTTTCTCCGTACGTCTCAAGTTTATTACGATGGTTTTTGAACACTCAAAACGTACAAATGGACCTTTCAACAAATAACACTTTCGGAGAGTCATCACTGTTGCAGTAAACTGTCGATCGCCTTCATCGCCTATATTTAAAATTCCTCGAATATTGGCCACATGGCGGCCTTTGCGGCAGGCATTTTTTAGCTTCGGTGCTGTTTCTAGAAGGTTTTCTTTATTGCCGATGCCCACGGATGACTGTCTAGGTAAGCAGTTAGAAATGACTCCGCTTAGAGATTTTTCTTCACATAAGGAAGCTTCATACAAGAGCATAGACACTGTCTCTCCATCAGTCATGATGTATCTTCTGGGAGTAGGTGGACGGACGATAGATATTGATTACGACGCGATTGAAACCGTATAACGTTTACATCGACTGTAAAATGTGGCCAACTGAGCAAATTGTACCTTCTAGCTATGCCTTCAACTGGCGAAAATGAAAGAAAAAATAACGGAGCAAAGGGTACTCCCTTACTACTAAATTCCTGCGACGTTACACACTTAACAGTAAATCCTGCTACAAATTACCGCGCTCAACTGATATAATAAATAAAATATTCGAAGGCCTCTTATAGATGATTCGTGACATAATACACAATTGACTAATGAATCTATATAAACACTTACAGCTTCCGAAGCACGCGTAGACTGGCAAATCTCCTGGCAGGGAGTTCAGTAATTCGGTTGTTTTGCAAATTTCTGAAATAACAATGAGGTGTGACCTATATAAACTGTGTCACGGTAACGTAACCATTCAATCTTGAGATCACAAGCAACGTATTTGATCTAGCCTACGTTGTGGCAGCAACCCGTCATACGGATCGATAATAGCTTATGAGAAAAAAACATCACAATATAAATACATACATTTCAGTGGTATCATCCGGAAAGAAGTGCGGCAATTCGGTCAGTCCTTTGTCACGGCAATCGACGACGTTAGCTTTGCAGGTGCATGGTGTTGGGCATGTCGCCTCAAGGTTACATACGGGGGCCTCGTCTGCCAGCATAAGATCCAGACCTGTAGAAGGCAAAAACGTGAACGAATCCAGTGAAACTTCATCAGTTTACTCGTTGGACTCGTTGGATAATTTTTTCTAACTTTATCGCTCTACCATTGTTAGGTCCTTTTTTATAACTTTATGTACACGCATCAACTCAAGCAACTCACCTTTAGCGTATCTAATAATGCATGATGAGCCCTACACGTCTTTGAATGTGTTCCCATCATTTACCCCGTGATGCCATAAAATAGGACTTTACTCACATCAGACACACGTCGATTCTATACGTTTTTTATACGTAATTCGTCTACGTTCTTCGTCTACCTCTAACGTGAATGCTACACTAAAAACATTTAGATCGTTTAGATCGAGGGAGTAGGGAATCGGTGAATGTTGTGTTGACATGGCATAGGACCATTCATCGGCAGGAATCTAATTGCAATCTCCAACGACCCAGGGGGTTCACGACTAACGCCGTGGCAGTCCTAGCTAGCTTCCGTTACTACCAGCTGTTTCACCGTGAACTAAACACTAATTGGATCAGAGCAGCCTATCTTAGCAGTGCAGAAGCACCACATACATCACCCCCTGCCCTCCCTCCCCACGTTCCTCATAGCCCTGAAGCACCAGGACCGCCAGCCAGAGTAAACCAGCAGACAAACAAGCCGTCGGCCCACCGACGAAGCCAGCGGCGGGCGGTTATTACCGGGCCCCCACTAAAGAGGATCGTGGATAGAGGGAACCAGCAGAAGAAGAAGGATACGCAAGGGAGATAGAGAGAAGCAAAAGGAGATCGGTAGAGACGAGCCGGATCATAATCCGATTTGCGTTTGCCCGCGCCACCACTTGATCATCGCGCGTCATTCGTCGAGATCCGTTCTCCAGTATACAAAAAAAAAATAGAAAATAACCCCCACACAAATCGACTGTGCTAACGGCGCAATAAATTATGACGCGCCGACTCAAAAAAGTGTAAAAAGGGGCCAATATTGAAATTGATTGGATTTTGTCTTTTATTTCAATAAGAATAGGCTATTTTCTCTAACTAGGATGTACAAGAATATTTTTTTCGTGCAGGCCATCGTAAACAATCTGTTTACAAGGATTAATTTGTTTGTTTGCGTTGGATTTTAAAAGACAAAAGCAGTAGCAACTAGCAGCTATCTGAAAAGAAAATAGAATACGATCATATGGAACTTGCTTGCTTAAGCAATCGCTATATTTTACATATAACACGGAGGTTCAACCAGCCTAAGAAGGATTACCTTGACACTATGTGCAGGAAGCTAGCGGTTCAAGTCCGCCAATGGCAGACATAGATTTGAATAGAAATAAATTTAAGCTAAAAAGCAACCCATTAAGTAGCAGCGGCGTCAAAAGGTGCGTGCATGTATCTACATACATTTTTCTTTCAATGGCAGAATCTGTTATGAGAACCAATAAACTACCAATTGAGATCCGTTCAGCGTCAAATGGCACCAATCACCCACGGCAAGTGCCCACGGAAGATCGCTTTCCTCTTCCACCACTTAGACGCCACTTGAACCATTTGTAGGGGCACGCTTTCTTGTTGTCAGCGTTATTTGTATTGTGGTCGTTATTTCGTCGAGGGTCTCAGCGAGCCGATAAAGGAAATAACGAAGAAGAATTGACAACCTAACACGGAAGATATTTTGGTGATGACGATTAAAATAGTTGGGGGGGGGGGGCTTTACTATAGGATTCTTACGGGACGTAAAAAGGAACAAGGGCTTCCAGAGCTTTCGAGTGGAAAAGCTCCCTTCATAGCTATTGTCGATTACGATGTTGATAGATAGGATGCACACTGCGGTGTGGATAATAGGATCTTTTGATCGTCTATCACGAATACTAGTATCGAGCCAATCGAATGGAATTGGGCACAATAACAAGTGCCAAATATCATATAGGTAGGTACTCGTTGTAGATCATGATACGTTTAAACGCCCATGAGCCACGAGATACGCAAACAAGTCGATTTCAACTTCAGTGATTGATCAGTTTTTTCGTCATTGGCATTGGACTTACCATTGCACTTAAAGTCAGCCTCACGAAGCTCGGCGACGGGTTTGCCCTTAAGATACGACGGTGAATGGCAACTGGTGTAAAGACCCAGTCTAGGATTCGAGCGCAACCAGCCCGAAAGCCATGATAAGTGGCAATCACACGACAGCGGGTTATCGGATAACTTCAAGACTCGAAGCTTCTTCAGACCATCGAATAGATACCTTGAATATATCAGAAAACTTGAATTAGCCAAAATTCAGAAAATCACTAGAGCTGACCATATATCCTGACTAAAATTCTAGACTAGAATATAGTGCAACTCCGAATTAGCCCACGAGCAATCCCATTTAAGAAAGTCGTCAATATATTGGTCCATTTGATCAATTATAACTTTATATCCGGTCCTTTATGCTGATGCAATTTCTACTAATTTCAGCCGTACTAAAAACGCCGACGTGCGAAGGCTAAACTTACCTGGAAATTCTTGTAAGATTATTGTTCGAAAGCGTAATGACTTCGAGATTCTTTAGCCGTCGAAGTGCAGCATCATCAATACATGCAATGTGATTTCCTTCAAGTTGAAGATTACGCAATGACGGGCATCCCGAAAAGGTCTTACGCGAAATCAGCGTTAATGTATTGGAGGACAAATTCCTGAAAGGTCGAAGCACAGATAACGTAAATACATCTGATATAGTTCATCCAGATGTTGATTTAAGCAACTTTATAATACCGAAAAAAAAGTTCTGAATCCGATAGTGATGCAGAATCGTAATAATAATCCGCACACAATCGATTTGAATTGGCGGCCGAGGCGTTCAGTGAAGTCGGGCAGAAACAAAATGCATAACAGTTTCATCCATCTCAAATACTTCAACGACTTCATTGTTCGTATTAACCATTGCGAGAACAGATGAAAGCAACCGTATATTAATCGTTGCCTTTCATACAGAAAAATTATCCTTTTTCATTCTTCGTCTGAGATTTCGTGACTCCGCTGCTGCTTCTCGAGATCGCATGTTTTTTTTTTGCCACAATAGTAGAATATGGAAGAAAAGGAACTCTGAGCTTTGCGAACGCCGACACCTTTGTACAGACCGCTCCGAACGAATTGTGCCGAGAGATAGGGCGAAAGGGATAGACGGAGAACTGGTCGGTGAACAAACTCGCCGATAATGTTCTGACAGTGTCAGAAAAATATATTGTGTTCAAAATTAATGTACGTTTATTCACTCGTACGGAAACAGACAGACAGACAGATAGATAGATAGATAGATTCGCGCACAGATGCGCACTAGCAATCACGGAAGCGGGGTCTCTTGCTGCTCTTCATGCTGAGGGAAGAACCAAGGAAAGAACACGTAAATAGTGGAAGATCGAAAAACATCGAGGTCCTGCTGTTTTGTGCTGACACGCGACGGGTAGAAATGATAATGATGATGATACGGGCCATGCGAACTAATATTCCTCGTAAGAGCAATATACAACCATAGCGTGCGTACATTTCTATAATGTAATAAATGTATAGACACACCGAGGCTTATTACGGCGGGGGTGGAATTGGCTGTGGTTCCGGGTTGTCTTCCTGCTGTGCCTACTGAAGTTAGAAGCAGCCCATCTAACTGGCTTCACCTTTATTCAGAGCAAACAGTAAACGTAAAGGCTAAGACGCACTGTGGCAGTTGTGTCGATGTTTCTTTTGTCATTTATTAAGCCCAGCACCTGGATGAGAAAGTAGTGGTGATCCATGCCTACAAAGCGATTTATAAAGGGTGACAGCTCTGAATAGGTAACGCATTCTAATAGGCATTCTAGTTATCTATCGCGGGCCATGGAAAACAGAAGACAACAATAAAAGGCAATAGCAACGTCAAGAAGTACCAAAACAGTGTCTGAAAAAGACCATAGGAATGCGGCGAGATTCGGCCTGGGCACATCGGAATATCGAGTCGCATTAGAAATTCTGGACAATTGAATACTTTAGAGAAAAAATAAACCCAAAACAAAATTACGTTTTTTAGTAGAATAGAGACAATGTCTTGAAAATCCCTAACAACAATTCGACATTGTGTAAAAAAACCACATGCCCGAACAAAATTCTACAAACGTGAACGAATATGGGTCTTGTTATCAGTGAACGAAAATCAACGCTCGGAAACTTGGACTACATAGCCATCGAACGACAAGTGTTCTACGTAATCAAAAGTTGCGGACAAAGCACTATTACGAAAAAAGAAGCCTCGCGGGGTACTGCGATAGCGTAGACCCAACTATGAGGACGGCGTGCGGCCTGAGCTGCACAACGGACACAGAGCAAATCCTATACTGTGTCCTGCATGACAGGAAATCTGTCGAACGTCACAGCGACAAATGCTGTTATATACATCACGAAGATAGTACTATCAATGCGTTAGAACATGATAACATTAACTTATGTCGGTCCTTTATCCTTTTTAGAATAAATTATTTTTCCTATACTAAACTAAATAGTGAATCAGTTTATCTACATAAAAACACATAATAAATCCGCTTGGACAACGCAATTTTCTTATATCATGTCGTATATTGAACAAATGTAGGTCTATGAAGAAAATTTGTTCTTGTTTCGAAAGCTGTCAATAAGTAATTATGCTATTCTACGAGCGAAAAAATTATTATTTTATCATAAGTACATATATGTTACAATATCGCCTGTTATTGAGAGTAAGTAAGTAAGTAGTTTAAGAATTCAATTTGAGGCCAAAGGGGGCTTTTAACTAAACCCTGATTTCAGTATACTTTGTTCGAGTACTTACAGTCTGTGAAGATGCGATAGTGAGGCGAATAAGTCATCAGAGAGCATGCTAAGTTTATTGTTGTTTAATCGTCTGAAATTAGAAAAAATATAAATAAAACCGCTTGTTATTTAAGTTTGAACAGTACTTGAACAGCATAATGCATTTTTATTATCGTCTTCTGCTAGAATCATTAGCAGGCGGAGCTATACAAATAACTACCAATTTGACTCATCTTCATGGCTCAAAAGATGTTTCAACTGTCACAGAAGTAAAACCCCGAAAAAGTATCGCGGTTTCATACTAGTCTTAAAACAACACCTCTGTGAAAACGACGCTCACGTCAAATATATGAGGGTTCACAGCTCGGGACAAACAACTAGTCCAAGTTAATAGACGTTCCTAATGTTTGTCGAACCGCTAGAGAATCCGTAGCGTAATTACAATCTCGAATTTTTCGAAGTAATTGTACTATATTAGTAAAAAGACGAATCATTATTTGAATACCGTATGCGTACTGCAGCATCGAGCTCGATCGACGAAAATCCTTACCTTTGCTCCCTAAACCAGTGCTTCTTCCAACAGGCCACTAATAGTCATTTTGTGGCCTCTGAATAAATACAGTACACGCTCGTTTGGAAATGTGGGGTTGTTTAGCAAGCTCCCCACAAAGGAAAACTCAACACAACACAAAGGAATCAGGACCTTGATAGGAATTGCGCCAAGTAATGCTGCGTACTTCATACTGGGAACAAGCTAAGAAGCAAAACGCTGCTATTCATGACCCAGGTTGACACGCGAGTGGCTCGAATGTTCACCACCTGTGTTTAATGTGAATGTATACGTTGCACAGGACGCTGGACTTGAATTTTTTTCTCATTGATGTATGCTTCTTTGTCAATGTTCTTGATAAACTCCATTTGCCACTCGGTTGTGTCCCGAAAATCGTATTCATATTTCTTTACAAAATTATGGAGGGCTTTTTTTCTCTAAATTTGCATCAATATGCTAGCGCAGCGGAGTTAGTGGAACGTCACTGCCACCCGGGAGGTTATGAGTAAAGAGGGCATGTAAGATAAAAATGTTATGTTTCTAGGCTTGCTTTTGTCATTTAGCTCTTTTCGTTGTACTCGTACGTATACTGAACAGACAGAGATCGATTTTCCTCAATTATTCCACTTCTGCTTGTTGCGATGATTACTTACATTTATTCAGTAAAAATTACTAGACATGCCCTTACACCAAGTTCCGCGTGTTCGACATATTCTACGCTTCCTATATTATCAAATATAGAATCACTCTAGAAAGTTTTAATAAACGCGAAGTATCCAAAGTATTTTGTAAAAGACGACTAATCTTTACGATGTCAAATTCGAACCATGTAAAGAACATGTTTTCGGTGACAATATCCAGACATGTACAATTAAAAGATTTTTTATTTATCTCTATATGTTACCTTTCTTTTGCATCGTGCACGTAGAAAAATCAGATTTGAAGATTTCTTCTATGCACAATGTAAAGAAAAAGGAAAATATGGGTAGATCAAAAACCTTGCAAGAATTCGAAATCGTACTGCCTAATTGCTACATACCCCAAAGAGCTACATGACAAATTAATAAAGCTTTTTATCTGTAGTCTAATAGTTAACTTGTGGCAGCGTCCAAGGTGCCCAGATAGGTCTGGATTTTTACCAAGGAACTTATTAGTTGATACTGCGCACAAATCAGTCGATTTGCTCTCTAAATATCTTAGGTAGCGTCCTCGTCTCAGCTGTTGCCAGTGGCGCACATCAGTTGGGTCGCGCCTTCAGCGTCGTACCTCGTTGGCGCCCCTTAAAGTGTCTGCCCGTGCTTCCCTCTACGCCCACAATCAACTAAACATCTCGTCAGATCACAGTTATAGGATATACTATTATATCCGCTTCTATATTCTATTACCATAAATACTATAATACTTCACACCAACATTCAAGAATCCCTACAGTTTACTGAAATAAATTCTATGGAATTCAGTTTCACGAGAGGATTGAAGAAGTCATCGGCACAAGTCACATGAAAACACGACGTTCAAGCTCGTAGTAGCAGCGAATGGCCATCAAATACCAACGTCGGCAAATTTAAATAATAATGTAGGGATTGTTTTTACTGATTACTGTGTAATTTAGAGATATGTCGTGTTGATTTTACTTGATCGGAGGAAAAAAGCCTTCTGCTAATACCTTTGACCTTATTTGGCAACGGGTAACTCGGTGGGTTACAACTACAATTAGACATTGTCATTCGGTGGCCGATCGGAGTCAAACTAACAAATTCATTGAATTTCAGGTTAGGTTAGTTTTTTATCGTATTTTTTTTTATAACCCTTCGAATAATTGGCAAAGTGTTATAGGTTAAGCATCTGTATTGAATAAAGTTTAAACCATAGAAACTTGAATAGGAGCAGGGCGTGCTTGTTGACAGGGCAACGTGACTCTCGCAGGTACAATCCTTCTTTCAGAGAGAACTGACTTATCGAACTAAGTTAATCAGTTCATATGAAGCAGGTAGCACTGTAACACAAAAGGTTTGATTTGTGTCTAATCCGACATATTCAAATGATCAGCAGGGTAGGAACAACATTTTTACGCGCCGGCCTACCTCATCCTATATGCATTGATTCGTCTATCTTATACCAGCGCTCCTGAACTCTATCGTGACGGAAATAGCAATGCCTTTGGTATACCAAGATGGAGGTGGACGGATGAGGAGTACAGGCAAACGTTCGCGTGCAACAGCTATACCGCGGCAGGTACCGCAGGCACGAAAGTGATAACGTACAATAAGAAGATGCAATCATTGATCGTCTATATTTGCTTGCCCTCGGGTAGCATGCAAAGACGTCAACTTTCGTATCGATGGGACCTACCAAAGGTCGTCAAATCGTGTGACAAAATGAGCCGGGCACAAGAACGTAAGAGAACGCAATGTGTACTCTTTTTTTTGATACCGCAATAAATGACGCGGTAGAGATGTCGTGTCGCTTCGAAGTGAATGAGATAATCTAAATCCATATTGATCATGTACAGCTGTTTTCATAAGAAAAATGTGGTCGCTATGAAAAAACTCAACACTTTTCTAATCACGGATCATTTTTATATACGAGAAAAGTTCTACCTAATTATAATAATAACTAACTAAACATTATTAGACATAGACCTAGGTCATCAAATGAGACTGTACAATGAAATTAACTAATTTTCCCACTTAGTATACTCACAATCTTTCTAGGGCGACAAGGTCTGCGAAAGCATTTTTGTCTATCGTATGCAGGTTGTTGTCCTGCAGTTGCCTGAAAAAATTGACAAAAATAAAGGTTAGAGAGAGCGTGAACCTATAGGGATTTATATATAATTTTTTTCGTCCATATAAAGGACGTTCGTTGAGACAGAAAAATATAGCTTTGTCAGGAGAAAAGGCGCGCTGTTATACCAATTCAGAAGAAAAAATGCACCCGAACAGGTGAATTCTTCCAATGTAGCACTTATCTTCGGATTTTTTACTCGAATATTTATAGCCATTTACAGCGGTCAATTCTACGACTAAAATTAGGCCAACCGATATTCCACATCGTATTCCTGATTTTAGCTTGTCGTGTTGACTATTATACGCCGTACAAAACCTGCCTTGTTATATGGCCCAATAAAGTGGGTTGATCTAAGTAAGTACCTTAAAGAGAAATAAAATATCTCAATACGGCCTCTGTCACCATCTGTTTACCGGTTAGTTTAGCGTAATTCTAAAACGACCTCAATATAAAAGAAAGATCTCCCTAGACAGCTATGCAAGTAAAGTATTTTTGGTTACTGCGTTTTTGGCGAAACGTTTTTACTGATGTTTCCTATCAAAACACATATCGTAACGTATGAACGCTTCTAGCAGGTTTAGCCTTTACTGCAACGAACATCTCAGGGGAACTTCTGCAATAATTCACGACAAACTCTTTGGACCATTTCAACTTTCTACAGAGTTCTGCATCGTCCAAGATTTAACAGCATCTCAAAGTGCGATTACTCTAGCCATGATATACGAAGATTTCGATGAGTTTTGTTGTTCAAGTTTCTCCTTTTGTCATCATATATATGTATACAGAACAAATCTATATACGCCTGCCGCGTCTTTCGGGTACGGGAGCAGTGTCAACAAGCTTGATTTGAAAGACTGTATGCGAAACATACTCACAAGTCTCTAATTCGACGATGTAAACATAGAACAGCTCTTCCGGGCGACAGCTGAACCCGCATAACCAACCCCGCGTGCACAGTTATGGCCTCCAACTAAAAATGTTATGCTGGCATTATGAATGAAACAGAGCGTGCCCACATATGGAGATTAGACCGGTAGCAAAGTAAACCTTTATTTAAAGATTTTTAATGATGTGGTTTTTTATGCTAGCCCCAGAACTTCAGAACTGTCGACGATTTCTATCTAGAACTTTGGCCTAAAATTTAGTTTGAATTATTGAATAAACCAGTCACTTCTACAGTGGGGGGCGCAAAATATAAGATCGTGAACTTATTATTTTAAAAATTATCTCTGTTTTCTAACGCTCAGTATTCGATTGCCTTTTGCGCTGATTATTAATTTACAACGTAACTGCTTCGCCTCCATTTTTGACACAGATTAATGTTCCAGGCCAAAACAGGCAAGTTTTTGGGTCGGAAAAAACTATATACGGTGTCGCTACAAAGAGCAACTGAAAAGAAAAACAATAAAAAGAAAATAACGAACGTTGCATTGTAGACACTGGCTATTATAGCTGACCGTGTTAAGAGGTAAGTTATATTATGTAATAGTAAGTATGCACATATCCAAATGAATGTGTATACACTGATATATGTAAACAGCCAATTATGATTCCATACAACGTGGAAGATCAGCTAAATGAGGACAACAATAGGCCTTGACGATCCGTACTTTTTCATTCATAACGGCGAAACCGCTGCTGGACCAAGTGGACGGCAAGCTGACGTACACATGAGTCTGCATGATACGCGTACGATAAGACCGAAAAAAATAGCGCATTGCGGCCACGCTCAGAAAGGGATCAGGTACAGAACAATGCCATTGCCTTATGTTATTATAATAATATATTTTTTATTGTTTTTAATTTTGCAAACACAACACTAGATCGGCCTGCAGCGTATGTAGTGAGTCGTATACATTGGTATCAATTAGTTGCCAAAGGAAATTCACCTGTCGTACGCTGCTAATAGACTGTATTGTCGCTTCATATTCAACAGGAATAAATGTGCTCGAAAAGCCGAAACTGATACCAGCAACATGCTTATAATGGTGGATAGATAAACGGAGGCTGATACGTTCTCCGTTCAACGTCGAAATCGCCTCTGGTCACTGCGGGTTTGCCCTGCTAACCGTGTCCTCGACGAACGATACCTACATCTTCTCACGTATTAGGACGCGATCAATATGTTCACTGTTACAGCTGGCGCTCATGCATATACCTAAATGATATTTAAGCGATCTATTTTTTCTGCGTAATGAAAGTGATACAGAGATTAAAATCCTATGGAACTTACAATATCCGCAGCTTTCGGAGACCCTTCAGATCATCCTTGTTGATGATTTCGATATTATTTCCCTCGAGTTCCCTGAAATGTTCAGCACAAGCAAGCGTTAGATGTTCCACATATAACTGTACTTCTATTAAAAATAACCTTTTTCGATGCCATGTTGAGTGACAAATACCTATTACGGCGAGGTCGATCTAGGACAAACTGACCTAGAAACCTAGCTAGCTGCGCAATGATATATACCGTTTTTGGTTAGATCGCATTATTATACACACGCGTCAATGGCCAAACTAATAAAATGAATTGTATCTAATGTATTATACATGATATATTCAAATTATTTCGCTTGGACGTAGCATAACTGTACATATTATATACACACGTATATAATATGCAACAAACGATTTTTCTGTTTGCGTGTTTTGCCAACGGATAGCCCCGATTTTTCTTCTATTCCATTGTTGTTGTTATTACTGGGCATAACGTGTGCATGTTGTGCAAAAGGATTTCTCTAAGCGTAGAAAGGTGTCACTTTTAGCCTGCCAATTGGCCCCGTGCCAGCCGTGCTTTCGGTATCTTTCCGAAACAAACTTTCCCTTAGGCCGAATGGAGATTGTCTATTTGCAAAGCCGACATATTCATCACGAAACCGTCGACGTACAAATTTGCCTCTCTGGCGAATTGCCTCTCTGCGCACGAGCGCACCGGATCAAGACCAGTGAGACTAATACGGCTGGTGAGAGACGCATAGCTCTCACAGACTACCACTTGACGTTATTCATAGCACGGATATGCCTGTACTCGAGATCAGGTGATCTCTATATACTATCAGACCTCGTACTTTATGCACACGACATTTATCCGTATAAATCCGGAGTGTCACGCTTTGATTTTTATTATATTATATATGATACACAGCGCATGATGTCGCCGAAGCGTGACAACATATATAGAGCAAACAGCTTTTCTTAATCTCAGCATTACTATTATCGTAACTACTTACGATGTATATTTTTTTCTACTGTGTGTCACGAAATGATATATTTGAGCTAAATGATGGTATAGTTTTTCCCTCTTCGGCTAACAGAAACGTGCCTGAATTGTGTTGAAAAACAGGATCAAAATCAGCCTTTCGAAGATTCATTGTACTGAACAGATTAGATAAACGCACTTACGTGTAATTAAAGTCGTATCAAAGTCATCTCAGAACGTAGCTGAAGTACCGTAGCAACCGTTCGACAAAGCGCTTGTAAACCAAGCACATAAACCCATTTCATTTTAATTCACCGATAGCCGTGTCAAATACATATATTGCTCTATGAAATATATATACCCTGTCAGCAATCATAGAAGCTAACGTATAGTGTTCTGAACATATGCTATAACTGTAACTAAGCACCCATAGCAGTTCAAATGTGCCGTTCAGCATTGAGCAAAAGAGAAGCCCAAAGTAGTCCTTTGCCCTTTTGTCGTTGTTGTCGTCGTCGTCACTAGGCTTAGCTTACAGCCGTACCACTATGGGAACAGTCAAGTCACTATATGTCGAGTTGCCGCCTTCGGCGTCAACTAAGCCGCATGCTTGTTCCGCTAGCAGCGGCTGTCCGCGACGCCGCAAAGCGTTATCAGAGTCGGACCTTGTCCTATCCGATTGAGCAAAGACCGCCAAAAACTCAAACCTGGACTAGCAGAAAGGAGTACCCTAGCGGTGAAAGAAGTTAGTAAATAAATCACGCTGAGATGGTAGCAGACCACAGTTGCCGACTCAGTCTGGCGCTGGCATACATAGGCTTGATCGGCACACACGTCCATGTATATGTATACTGATAATTTTATTTGGGTGCGATGCTGCGACTGTGATGAAATAAGAAGACTCTGCACGTTTGTAGTAAGATTGACGGATAGAACTCTTATACATAACGTATCAACAATGGCTGGATGTATATTTCTTCTCTTCGTTTTCTATATCTACTTCTTTACGGTAGCTATTGCCTGTCGCTGTATCGAATATAGATGTCTACCGTGAAACAAAGGGCCCGCACACATAGATACTAGGAGCCGGTTCGACTATCCAATAACAATCACAATCATCATTATGTTGGTTCTTTATGTTGCTGAAGAATCTGCCAACCCTACAGCAGACTTTATAACAGCCGTTCACTGGCAACAAGTCGCTTAGTAGAGATGTGGCCTAAAATATCACGTGAAAAGGGACAATGAAGAGCCCGTGACGTTGATGTGGAGCCGAAAAAAAAACCTGTTCGAGTTTACGTTCGTACACACTATCCTATACGAGTACATATTTATCATAATAACAATGATGATTATATGCAATATCACTTGTTCAGACAGCTCAACGAAAGTGACTATGTTCCGCATACGCCAACAAGGTCTTCGTGTAGGATCTGTGTATTCTGCTTTCTGCGGCCAATCATCATCTAAATCCCGAACAAATTTAACGTCTAACGTGGCCAAGGAGCGGTCAACAGCTCGAATCATGGGACTGATCCCTGTGTAGTTCGAATGCTGTGACCTATCAACGGGCAAGAGCATTCGGCCCACCTTCAGTGTGGCCTGTTTGAGTTTTACTTACGCCTTACATGTTTAGTCGCGTACTTATGTCAAGTGCTCGTTGTTCCCCCTCTAACCCTCCTGTTCAAGATTGACGTTAGTTTACTTCCTCGGATCACTGTTATGTAAAGGCATTCCGGATTATTTTCAAATAGCAGCTCACAGATGCGAGCTACTAAGCATGTCAGGATCGGCCGAATCGGAAGGCATATTTATATTAACACAATCATACTTTTGTACAGCAGCACTCTTATATTGCCTAATTCTTCCGTAAGGTTAGCTTCGAGTCTGCTGTACAGACAATTATTATGTACATTTTTTTCGTGCACATGTAGTAGAGAAAGATGTGTGTATACAATCGGCTTGTGTTTTCAAAACAACGAAAAGCACAACACGTTTTTTTATAATTGTTTTTTCGTTCTGACTAGAACGTAACATTTCAACGATTTGAAAACGTTTTCATTTCTAACAGCCGTCTCGTCTAATCAATAAAGCAGCGTTTTGCTGTGTCTCAGCCTCTGCCTTGTTCTCTATAGTTTTTATGCTTTTCCTTTTCAGGACAGTTCTCTCCTAAAATAAGAAGCGGCAAGTTCCAGTACCTTAAGTTATCAGCAAGGTCGAACTTCCCAGGACGTTACATCGTTTTCGTATTTTTGTATGTACAACAAGGCCACCGTTTTTACTGGCATCATGATCGCAACCATAATTATTGAGATGACGGGCGCGCGTATGGAAAATGCTTCAACGTAATTACTAATGTAGGCAGCGAAGATAGCGAGCGATGTCCGTAGACATATAATAAGGCTCACATTTGTTTGGATCTTTTGACAAGTTTTGTAGCAGAAAGAAGTTGTTAAAAGTAAATCACACTTGATACCTGATCAATGAATATATTGGGCTCGTTACCTGTGCCATAATTAGGGGGCAGTTCGTCCATGATAAAGAGTTGCAGGGCAGTATTTTAAATTAGTATAGATTTCATGGAGACGTTTAATTGGTAGCAACATGATACGTACGCGTAAGGCGGATCTCTCGGACCGTGTTGGCATCGTAATCACGAAAACGCAGTTTTTGTTGGCTCGAATTTGGGCGTTAACAGGTAGTTAGTATGGCATACCGCGGGTACACAGAAATGGGCCACATCAATTCAACCGGACCTGGCTAGATATTCTACTAGTAGCAAGTCCTGGATGTTTTGGAAACGTTAAAAAGAAGCTTAGCAAATAACTCTTTATTTAGTAAGCTTTATATAAGTTTGCATTGTCTTTGATCTTCTAGCAGTCACCGTTACGTCTTCCAGTTAACGAAACGCAGCGATATATTCTTTCTCAGTATCTCCCCAATTTAATTATACATTAAATTCGAGAGTTCATGCGCAAGAAATACAGATGCCTAAGACTATGGAGAACTATATCAATCTTAAATTGTGTCAGATCGAACACTCACCGCAAAAGGAGCCGCACGACGCTTAAATGAAGGCTTAACCTACTATTGATACAAAATATTACGAAGTTATCTTTCTGTAACTTTACTGCTGCAACGTCTACCGCCAGGCCTTGTTTATCATACGGATATCTTCTCTCGATTATCTGTAGACTGGGAACAGGTATCGTAAGTATCTATATA